TTTTTCAAATCGTTATATCTCGGGTTCTGCTCATCGTAAAGACTCAATCTTAACGTCGTTTTAAAGCTAAAGAAACGGGCTTGACATTTCTATATATAAGATGGTCAAGGTTATCCTGAAGCTAACGAAGCTATTAACAGTTGAACTTTTTAAATGATTTCCATAGTGAGCACCGGTAAATTAGGGATTTAAAATTATACCATCGTAATCCTTGTTTAATTCTCTATAAAAAAAGGTGGTTAAAAAAATTAGCGTTTTTCAAGAACTATTTTTAAAATATTTTTCTTTGTGACGAGATTGTTTATTTTGTGAGAATCCAGAATTTTTTGTAATTTGTTTTCTCAAACTTATGTTGAGATATATTTAGTAAGGCAGAATATAGCTTCGTTAACAATATTTGTTCCACAACTTTTTCAATCCGTATGGATATTCTTGCGAAATCCACAATAAAGTCTAAATTTTTGAACTTTGCTTTTAATATAGCCACGCCCATTTCTAGAATATTCTTTGATTGAAAAGTTTGTGGAACAAATGTTGTTAATGAAGCGATATTTTGCCGAAATCTGCAATAAAATCTGCGTTTTGCTAACTTTAGTCCTGCAATTGCCACGCCCATTTCTAAGGGTGTTTCGAAAAATCTTGCCATACAAATATTATATCTGGATAGGTATTTTATCGGAATCCGCAATAAAATTTTAATTTTTGCAAAAATCCGATGTTTAACACCTTACTAAATATATCTCAACATAAGTTTTCGAAAACAAATTACAAAAAATTGTTGATTCTCACAAAATAAACCTTCCCGTCACAAAGAAAAATATTTTAAAACTACTTCTTGAAAAACGCCAATTTTTTTGAACCACGTTTTTTGTAGAGAATAAAACAAGGATTACGATGGTGTAATTTTAAATCCCTAATTTACTGTAGTTCACTATGCAAATCAACTTCAAAAAGTTCAACTGTTAATAGCTAAGTTAGCTTTAGGATAACCTTGACCATCTTATATATAGAAATGTTAAGCCCGTTTCTTTAGCTTTGAAACGACGTTAAGATGAAGTCTCTACGATCAGTAGAACCCGAGATATAACGATTTTAAGAAGCACATGAGTAGTCAGAATCTCGAAAAAATGCAAACTTTGACAGATCATATCTCCGAAAGAAAAATTCCTCGAACACTCATGTATAGAATCCATAAAAGAAATTTTAAGCCAATCGAAAGTGTGACAACAAATTTGGTGTCCGATATGAAAAAGTATGTCTCATATACATATTTACGTCATATTTCTTTCTTAGATTTTTTATTCAACAAAACATGCGTTTTTATTATCTTGCAAAACATTTTTAAATTGTAATGATTACTATGCCTATGTATGACATATTTGCTTATTAATTCTTCTGAATGGCTTAATTATATTATTTTTGGCCTTTTCTCTTTTTTATTTTATTTCTCTAAATTTCTCGATTGATTACACACCATAAAATTCGCAAATCGTACATCGGATACTGTCGCCCATTTGTTGTTGTTGATGTCTTTATTGTAGCTATGAATGAAATCAATTGACAGCGAGTAAGACTAACCGGGGGCAACATTGAAACTATTTTCCCTTACACTCAGCAGACGAATTGTCACCGTTGTGAATAACATCAGAACCTAGTGACAACCCAAAAGACGTCGTCCCTCTTTGGCGCTTAAGGACCACTGGAATGTTGGAATATCCCCAACAATTTTCACGCAATATCCCCGGTTCCTCAACGACGAGTAGCGTTTCGATAACACACAAAAAACATCAATTATACCATCACAGTCAGATTCATCAGCAACTGCAGCAACGACAACGGACACACTTACTGGTAGGTAGTAATAGTGGTGGTGGCTTGGTTAGTGCCCACGACCACCAACAGTATTCACCGGAACCATCTCCAGTACATCAGCATCGACACATCCCGCATGCAACAGTAATATTCGCGACAAACGGAGCACATCAGCAACGTCCACAGCCCCAACAGCAACAATATCACCAGGGCACCCTGTCGACTGCATCTAGTTGTAGTGCACAGCACAAGAGCGTGACCTTTGGTCAAGTCACCGCAGCGTCCAATATCGCCGGATACGGAGGCGATTACAGCGGCGGCAGCAGCAGCGGTAATTCGAGTTCCGGTCAACAATCCATGGCGGGCAACATGAAACACGGTTGGTATTAACAAAAATTAGTCAGAGTACATGCATGGATACATACACATGCACGCATGCGTAATTAGACATCCAGGGTATTCTGTAAAGTTTCGATATTAAGAGTGTACATTAAGGCTTATCACGAAAAAAAGTTAAGCGTGTGTCAGTTTTATTTGAATACTAATGTCAAGAAAAAATTTGGGTGTCAAATTTTTATAAGGCACCCGCTAAAAACAGCTAAATGACGTCTTTTGCTATAACTTTCTTATTTGATATCCTATTTTTAAAATCTTTACGTCGCCGAAAAGGCACCCCTTCGAACTATATTGACAATTAAACAGTTTAAGCGTTCAAACCCGTTTTGATTTATACCTTTACTAGTTTTGGAAATACTACCCCTTGATTTTTATTTTTATGCTATAAATCTAAAGCTCAAAAAACGATGACGATTAGGCTTTATTCACAAACAAAACAGTTATAATGTTTAGCAAAAATATGCCCAAGACGTTCTGTGTCTGAAACTGCAAGTGAACTGAAGTGAACTTAAACGTGGACAAAACGCTCAGTATTTTGAGTATGAAATAAAATATGAGTTAAATTTATGAAATTTCTCGTCAGCCAATAATAGTAATATACATATGTGGTACTTCTATGTACCGAAATGCTTATGGAATTTGAATAATTTTGTTCAAGTAATGATATTCTTGCAGTATTTTTGCAAACAAAATTGCAAATTTGTAGGCTCAGTATTGTTAAATCTATTCAAGTCTATCGTTTCCACGCAGAAATTGCTATTAAAATTACTACATTCTCGAGGAATGTGAAATTTGCGGATAGATAAAGGCGGATTGATTCCAGAGGAAAATTCGTATATTAACTGCAAGTCTAGCGGCAGCCGACGCATATAGCATGCATACATATGTTTTGCCATACGAGGGATGTCTTCAAAGTTCTGGGAATTTAGGTATGATTTGTATTATTTTGGTAATTTTCGTCAATATTACAATGTATAGTAGTTATTCAACATAATCTCCATTAAACTGAATACATTTATCTTAACGATAAACTACATTTGTTAAGCCGTCCTCAAACAACTTTTTCGGTGTCTCCTCAATCCACTTATTTATGGCACGATTTACGTCAGTTAAACTTTCAAATCGAACACTCCGTAAGGGAACAGATGATAATCACTGCATTATCTTGTTGCGATAACGGGCACAAGTGCCTGTCGCAGTGGCCCGCTGTATAGTTTCTGATGTTTTCACACCTTCTTTCCACAAAAAGAAAATTATTGCTCTTTGGGATTTAGCTGCATCTTCCATGGTTATAAAAACAGTGATATGAAAACGCGTCTATATCAGTCGTACACCTAAATCAGACTAAACAATAATGTACTAGATAGTTGCATAAACATGTCAAGACTCGCCTGACGTCAGTAACATTGCCTAGAAGTTCTGTGTAATTTAATTATAGCACAATTCCCAGAACTTTGGAAATATCCCTCGTACATTTCGACTTCCGTGGAAAGCTTCGTCATCTCCTAAGTCCCTTTTCAATGCCGTTTCTGCGATTCCTGTCTAAATATCCTTTAGAAGTATAGCGGCAAGTAAAGAGCCGGCTCGATTTGATGGGTTAGTTTTATCAAGAGCTGAGCAATAATTTTGAAGATTGTCGTCCGATACTTTCAATGCTTTTGGAAGTGGTGGTGCTTGTACGTTAAGATTGTCTTGGAACTCTTCTTCACTATTTATACTAGGAGTATATCGAAATTAGGGATGTTTCGAATGTCATATTTTTCACATTCTTGAATGCGAATTTTCGGAATGCGAATGTGCGAATGCGAATGTTAGGAATAACATTAAAAAAGCTTAACTTAAACTCAACTTAAGTCATCGTTTTGTGAATTACACTGCATCAGAAATTTTAGTTTGGTTTTTGTTCTCCAGACGCCACTATCCAATTCCTATCTAGAATTGCCAAGTGACCCCGAAAATCTAGTTAATTTCTTTTTCTATGGATAAGTTTTCGAGATATTTTCAATTTGCCGTTATTCAGCTCAAAACAAAAAGTGGTTCCATTTAATCACGTATACCTTACGAACCAATTTAACAATCTTAAAAGGAGATATGTCAAATCAAAGGTAATGGAATAAATCATATATACATCACTTTTCGATAGGACTGATATAGTTTCGGACAAATTAATTAATCATTCCAGTTTTTTTTCCATTTTTTAATGAAAAACAAATCAAACTTTAACAGAAGAAAAATTTAAAAATAACCGGTTCTGTGCCAAATTTTTGCATTTGTGCTAAAGCCTGTTCTGTTACAAACAAAAATCAAGTTACTATTTATGAAAATCGATGAGTAAATAATAAATTATGAGTGGTGAAATGAAAATGCGCAACGATTTTTTGTATGAAATATGAGCAGAAAAGCGTGTTACTCAAGTGTACGTGGCGTATGAGTTACTTTTGTTCCTGCTCATTTTTCTTACAAAAAATCTGTGCACATTTTCACTTGACCACTCATTACTTCTTTATTTATCTATCGCTTTTCTCCATTAGTAATCTGATTTTTTTTTTTTAACAGAACAGGCTTTAGCACAAATGCAAAAATTTTCCACCTGTTATTTTTTAAATTTTCCTTCTGTTAAAATTAGATTTTTTAATTTTTTCATAAAAACAAAAATGGAATGATTAATAAATTTGTCAGAAACTATAAATCCTATTGGAAAGCTATGTATATATGGTTTATGGAGAATTTCATTAGCTTTCATTTGACGTATATCATTTTAAGATTGTTAAATAGGTTTGTAAGATATACGTGATTAAGTGGAACCACTTTTTGTATTAAGATGAATAACGCTAACAAACGATGGAAAAATTTCTATAAATACGTTTATATAAGCAAAATTCTAATGAATTTTTATATATTCTCTCTCAAAGAGAGAAATGTTGGCAAAAGTACGCGAACGCAAAACTAGCAAAAACTTGCAAGTTTTTAGTACAGCTGATCGAAATTTTGTTTACATTTAAAAGCATAAAACAGAAAACATGAAAAGAATATAACATAAAAGTTTTCCTAAAGCATTTTGCTAAGAAAACATGAGTAAATGAGTATTTGCTTTCTTTCGATACATTTGCAGTTCTAATAAGTCATTTCAAACTTAAAAATCATAATAATAAATCTAAATCTAAAATAAATTTCCATATTTTCATAAATTGAAAACAGATGACTTTGATAAGCTCTTTTTCTTGCTGGCAAATGGCTGCTGGTAAAAATCTTTCCAACAGAAACTAGCAGCTTTTCATCAGAATGAAATGTCAATTTGGTCCCTCAATTTCCCCTACTTTGCTGGATTTTTGTGTACGCGAACAGGAAAATTGTAAGACTGCCAACAACTGGAATATTCCTGCGTTCGCACTTCCCAATAATTTTTTTTATTAATTTGCGATTTTTGGGCACATCTGCTATGCCGTTCTGTTCAAATAAATTAAGTATAGCTTAGTAGCTTGTTGCTGAACAGTTTGTAAGGCTATTCGCCTTCGCCAACGCGTAAACGCCCGTAAACATTTCGCTGAACCTTTCCCTCGAAAACTCCAACAGCCGCCTCGTCAGATTTTTTCATTATCCATGCCTCCGCGCCACACAGTGTGGAAATTAGAGATATTAGAATTTGCGACGAAAAAAGTCCCAATTTCCACACTGTGCGCCATAAACCAGCACATGCATGATCAGTGACTTATATAATGTGATTTTTGTACGACAAGAGAGGACTTTACTCCTCAATTGCCTACTCAGTCCAAAGTAGCACTTGTTGGCAAGAGTGATTCTCCGTTGGATTGCAAGGCTGTCATTATTATTGGTGTAATTCTGGTTCCCAAAAAAGCGAAGTCGTCTACTTTTTCAAACTTGTAACTGTCAACAGTGACGTGGGTACCAAGACGCGTATGCTCTGACTGTTTGTGTGATGACAGAAGATACTTCGTTTTGTCCTCGTTCACCACCAGACCCATTCGCTTTGTTTCTCTATCCAATCCCGCGTAGGCAGAACAGACGTAGAACTCGTTTTTACCGATAATGTCGATGTCGTCGGCATACGCCAGCGATTGTACGCTCTTGCAAAGTATTGTGCCTGAGCGGTTCAGTTCTGCGGCTCTTATTATCTTCCCCAACATCAGATTAAAGAAATTACACGAAAGGGAGTCACCTTGTCTGAAACCTCGTTTGGTATCAAACGGCTCAGAGAGGTCCTTCCCAATTCTGACGGAGCTGATGGTATTGCTCAACGTCATTTTACGCAGTTGTATTAGTTTCGTGGGGATACCAAGTTCTGACATCGCGGCATAAAGACAGCTTCCTTTGGTGCTTTGAAATCGACAAATATATTATGTGTGAATACCTGATCTATGGTGGATTTGCCAGGTCTAAAGCTACACTAATAAGGCCCAATCAGTTCATTGTCGGTGGGCTTCAGTCTTTCACTCAATACGCTCGATAAGACCTTGAAACCTATGATTAGAATGCGGATCCTGCGGTAGTTGTCGCGAATGGTAGGGTCGCCTTCTTGTGGATTGGGCAGAGCACACTTAAATTCCAGTCGTCGGACCATATTCTGCATAGGAGTTGATGCATGCACTTTATCAACTCTTCGTCAACGTACATGAATAGCTCGGCTGGCAGGCCGTCAGCTTCAGCAGCTTTGTTGTTTTTCAGCCGCATAAAAACTCGTATTCGTATCTCGTCATAGTCAGGCGGTGGGACATCGACTCCATCGTCATCGACTGGGTGCTTGAGTTCGTCTTCTCCTCTACTTTCAGTGCTGCTGCCATTCAATAAGGTGGAAAAGTGTTCCCTCCATAGTTTAAGTACGTTGTGGTTGCCATGGTTGTAATAACAGGAGTTCGGACTGGTCTTCTCTGATAACATTTTCTGGAGTTTTTCCTGTCGGCCAGCTTTTTCAGCTCTTCACACTCACGGATTTCGGCGGCTCTGTTTTTATTGCGGCAAATACGT